CTTGTTCATACAAATCATATGACAGACAAGAAGATAATTAAATTTTCCCACTCCGTAGGAATTCTTGTTTGAAGTTATTGCTGCTCCCTCAGGTGTTTACTCTTGGTGGCAGCCGCACAGCTCCATCGCGTTTCCATTGCTTATTTGATGCTGCACGTTTGAAAGGAATGAACATGAGCAGGTTCTATAGTTAAAACATAAGGTGTCAATGCATTGAAAACACTGAAATAAAAAGCAAGAGGAGTCGAGAATTATTACGTCTTGCTGCACAGCTGTGTCTGACGTGAATGCTGCAGCTAGCACCACTCAAGCACGCAGGGACCTGTGCGAATACTTTGAAAAGAATGCTCCGGCTTACGGGGTCAAACCTGAGAAAGCTAAGCTGCTTCCTGGGTTGTGTGGTGTCACCGTTCCCGTGCCCATCGCTCAGGAAAGGCCCGCAATGGCTCAATTCCGTTAGGGCTTGCTGGCATGTCATTCCATGCTCAGAGTTTGCTGTCGAAACCAAACCACTAATCCAACAACCCCAAGATACCAAGACAAACCCATGATTATCTTCATTTCTTTGTTGAAAACTGCAGAAAGTGAATAAGAGAGAGATGCTTGATTGTACATTGGCCTTGGCTCCTTGGTACTTATTTATAGGGATAACTCTGATTCTACCATTAAAGCTGAGGTAATTCATCATCAGTGGTATTTCCATTGCCACTTTCTTCTTGTCAGAGACTGTTTAATTACGATAAAAAGCTTTAACTTTACACGATTCTTCTATTAAGTGTTCTGAGTTGTAACATCGTATTGTGATTCGCCGTCTTCTTACCTCATGGAATTTCATTGACCTGTGGACCTTACAAGGTGGCCCTGTTAATGCAAAAAGAAACGCCAATACCACCAAACATCCGTTTCATTCGTTTTCTTCTTCTGTTTCTTATGGCAAGGCGTCAGCGCCATTACGGCGTCCTGGCTTGTTATTGCATGCACGGAAGTCGCAGTTGCAAACAAAACCACTAACCCCAAAACCCAAGAGACCAAGACAAGCTCATCATTTTCTTCTTCATTTTTTGTCTTTGAGGATTACTACAACAAGAGAATAGAACAGAAATAGATACTTGAATTATTGCAAAGAACTTGGGCTGTGGCATTTGCGACTTGGTACTATATAGATAGGGAGAACTCAGGTTCTACCCTTAATTCAAGCTATCATTAAATTTTCAATACCAAATCCAAGCTATAGATGGTAAGTCACATCTCTTATTTTGGTATGTTCGCTTCTCCATTCATTGCAATTTATATCACTTGTGGACCTGACAATGTGGCCCTAAATCTGTGTAGGAAAAGGGAAAGGAAGTTAGTTCATATTTTTGGGTTTTTTTTTTAAAGTTCAAATGTATTAAAAATCTGAAGAACATCAGCTCTCCATCAAAATAATTTTGCAAGGCATGCTCCTACTTGCAAAAGACATTGAGGGATGGCATAACAATATTACATAAAGGGTCAACCCCCTGTACATGAACCAGCATAAAACCCATCCTATACCACACACAAAATCAACCCCTATAGACAAAAGGAGTTAGAACTCAGGAATATACAAAGTGAACTTCCTAATCTCCTGGGCTATTCCCAGGAACAGACTAAAGCAAAAGATAACCCTTCCATAAAAAAGAAGAGGCTGCAGCAGAAATAATAAGGTATTTTAACTACTGCTTCCTTCTAATGTCACAGAGCCCCTTTGCTCTTCTACCCAAACCGTGAACAACTCTGTTTCTCTCCCTATGTAATGATAATAATTACTCCTGATGTGTTTTAGGTTATGATGATTATCTTTATATAAGCATGCTGCAAAGACTATGGAAGGAAACAATGACTGCTCCTTTTGAAAGAAACGCAATCACCTTTTTTTTTTTTAATAAAATTTGTATGTACATCTAAAGATGTGGTAATGCATACATACATACATATACTGAAGGCATAGATATATATATATGTTTCTTGGATATTTCAGCTTGCTTTGCGACTTTGCTAGAAGCATAAAAGAAGAGAAGCTCAATATATGGAATCATTTGCTCAAAATCTTAAATGGGGAGGAAACCTTGAGCATGTTCTTTGTTAATATATTTTTTTCAACAGAATAAAAAATCAATAATCTTAATCTATGTCAATCCATTCATGAAATTACTTTTTATTAAAAACATTTGTATTACGCGAGTGATTCATGCTTAAATAAATTAATTACTTATAATTAAATAAAATTTTACGAAAATTTATTGATCATTTATAATTATATTATACGGACATATTAACATGATAAATTAATTATGTTGTTCAATTAAGGTGTTTCAATAATCTCTTGATAGGTGGAAAGTTTTTGCTTCTTCATCTTGAGGGTACGGGCCTTTAGCATGCAAGATAAAGTAAAAACACTTCGGTTCATGTTCAGTTGTTCATGCCAGAAAAAAGATTGAACTTGTAATGCTCTCAGAGGTAGATATTATTAGAAAATTTGGGAGAATTACACTTATATTTCATGTAGACACGAAAGGAAATCAGTGAATTCTACTAGTGCTATAGAAGGGAACTTTTTCAAATTTATTGCTGCTCTTCATGCTTGATTCTGGTACCACCATACCTAATGGACGCTGCATTTGAGTCAAGAAATCAAAATCAGTCAGTTTATGCAATCAAGAAAATTACTAAAAGCAAAATGGAGTGAAACTTGTAGATGATGAGTTTCTGTAAGGATTAAGAGATTACTTCTTGCAATCATCGGCGGAGGGAGCAAGGGGCACTGGAAAGTTGAGATTACAGTACTTATTAATTTTCTTAGCTCTATCAGGCTTATACCCGTCTCGCACCGCAAGCTTGTGAAGACATTCACAGATGTCCTTGCGGGTTTGGGGCTCGGTAATGCCGCCGTCTGTGTTGGATAAACCTATGCAGCAACGAACGTCGGGCCTGGCTGCTTGTCCCACCAGGTAGGGCTTGCAGTATGGTATGAAATTCACCATGCAATCCCTGCATGTTGCCTCTCTATCTGCATGCACAGGGTTGGTAGTAACCACCAAAAACACGAACCCCAAAACCAAAAAAAAAGAAGAGAAACCCATCATTTTCTTCTCCATTTTTGCTTCCTTGGAACACTTGGGGTGTGTTTGTTTCTTTTTGGCTCAATTGGAAGACTTGGGTGCTGTTATTTGCAGTTTGGAAAGAACTTATTTATATGGCTGTGGCTGCTGAAGTCATTGATGAACAGAGTTACTCCATCAATGCACTTAACTCATCTATAGTTGTCAATTTTCATTTTTGGAGAGTCTAGCTAGTTGTGTAGGTTAAGCTTACTATCTAATTTAGTTGTTTGAGTAGAATCCCATCTGTCAATAATTAAGTTTCCAGACAGGATTATTGATTCTAAACCTAAGATGGTGTTCTTTATAAGGATTTGCATGGTGGCAATGGCTTCTTCCTTTGGGAATTTTTGCCCCTTCTCTTTACATATCCTTCCTAATAAGGTTTCACAGGTGGGTTCTGATTTATGAAGCTGTTTCTCTCTCTCTCTCTTTCTCGTGCTTGCATGAAGAACAGAGGGATCACATAGCAGTGTGAATTGATGAATTTTTTTATTAAAATTTAATTTAAAATATTTGTCCTAACTGATCATATATCCAGAACCCGTCCATGTCAATTATGTACGTATACTCCACGTATACAACGCCGTAGATTCCATTCTCAGGCAGACCGGAAGTAAAATACAGCAAGGTGAAAGCGAAGGGAAGGACAAATGGCTTGATTCATGCGAAAATCATCATTAATAAATCAAAATATTCTCATTCCTTAATTTTTTCTTTCTCCTTTCTTAAAAGATCCAAAGCAGAAAAAAATGGGGATGTTATTTAATTCTCATAGCTGTAATTTTTTGAGATTGATTTTGATTGGCTTTTGGCTTTGTTACCATCGAATCATTGTCTGAATTTGGGAAGTCTTTTGACTCCTCGGATTTTCCGGAAGTCAAAGCTTGCAAATTTCATTAAAAATGTCACTTTTATGTTCTCCAGTCCTTGAAGGGTTTTCTGTCACAAAGAATCAGAAACAACTCCTTCTTACCACTCTCATCCTCCATGGCTGTAAGCACGTTTTTTCTTTTGTTTCAACTTATAGAACGTTTCTGTTTTTGAATAATTTTTGTCTTCTTGAATTTTTCTTGTTTCTTCTTACGTGCATACTGTTTTTCACTTTCTCCTGTTTCATAAATGCTTTACCAGAAACAACTAACCTCTTAAGAGATAGGTTAAAGATATCACGTGCCTTGTAGGTGGGGTTTGATTCGGGAGTCGGGGTATGATTTCACTTTCAAGAGTTTTTAGTTCATCTTGTCCAATCCTGGATGATGTAGAGATGGTTGAGAAGTTATTACAACCTTCAGATTTTGCAGTTGAGGATGTTATGGCAGAAGTTGTTTATTTATTTGTTTCAGATGACAAGGCTGAGAGTGGAGAGCGGGGGAGATATACCCCAGACTCTGACCATCCACTAGATTGTTTTTATGATCATTTGACAGTAAAATTAAAATTTCCTTTATCCCCAACAGTTTTGGGGCAAGGACATGACCCCTGGAAAGCAACGGTCAGACTTTGTCATTAGATTATTCATGTTTAGATCTGTGTCTTGTGTTCAGACAGGGTAAGATGGACATGTCTCAAGGACAGCTGGTGAGTCCATATGAGGATATGATTAAACCATCAGTTTGATCCTTCTGCTAGACTGCATTCAGCACTCTTTTTTTTCCTCTGAATCAATCTCTTGAACAGGCATTCCCTGTCAAATTTTTACTCCCTTCCATCTTACCAGAAATATACATGTCTGCAGTTTCAGATGTCTAGAGATATTAAGATTGAATAATTTTCATTTGTTCTTTTATTGGTATACTTTTTCCAGCATGATGCTATCTGTAGTAACTTTTATGCTTGTCACAGCGCTCGCATGTGCCCAAATTTGGTGACTGGGACAACGATAATCTACCGTACACAGCCTACTTTGAAAATGCTCGCAAAGAAAAAGCCGGCATAAGGATGAACCCGAATGATCCTGAGGAGAATCCGCAGGCCTTCATGTATATGAGGGGAGGCCTGGAAAGCAATTGTGATTGCCAGCCAGTTCAGGTTCCTCCTGCTGCCCGTTCTCAGAAGTCCATTCCAGCAGATAAAAACCACAATGATGGACACAGCAGGCAGATTGCTCCTAACAGAAACGGTTCTTATGATTATCAGAAGAGTGTAAGAAGCCATAGGAGCATGGCATCAGAATCTGGCAGTGAAATGAGCAACTCTGACCATTCACTTCTACGGTTCAATCATCGACGTGCAAACTCTGGCCAGAAGAAAGGTCGGGTTGGGGGAAGTAGCTTCTCTTCATCTGTCTCGGGACAATTTACACACAGAAATGGAAGCTACCAATTTGATAACAATAGAGTTAAGTGTATTCTGCCCGAACATATTACTTACCTTATTGCCTGCCAAGCACAACTCATTCCGTTCATCATTGCAATTTTTTTACCTGACTCTGTTTGGTTTCATCTGATTAGCAGCATCATAGAACAGCATCAATACCAAAATTTGGGGAATGGGATGAAACTGACCCAACATCAGGTGAAGGGTATACTGCCATATTTAACCAAGTGAAAGCGGAGAAGCAAGCTCCGACTTCCAAGTTCCCAACAGTGCCTCCACAGCAGGGCAATTACTCAGACTGTCATCACATTAAACCTCGGACTCCTTCCTTTTGCTCAAAGGTACAGTCAGTAGACACTGTTAAGTTTAAACAAAAATCGAATTGAGTCAGAAAAAGAGTAGAATGACCAGAACTTTGATACTTTTTCACCGCCCCTTCCTAAAATTTACTCTCTCATTTACTAGTACCTGTTTGTTCTGGATCATGCAGATATGTTGCTGCTTGTTTTCACGTGGAAGTGACTAACAGACATGGAATGGGATTGCTTTTTGTTTCCCACTGGCTCCATGGGAGGGTTTTTCATGTGAATCCTGATGGGATTCCCACAATTTGCACTTGTCTAGTATGCCCTTCATTCAGGGAAAATACCTTGAATGCCTTCGTTTTGAGTATTCTAAAGCACAATATCTTTATTATTATTACCTCTCTTTTTTCCCAATATTTTCTCTTTTAATGACATTACATCCTTGGGAAAAAAAGGATTCACAAATTGTTTTTCTACTGCTGGGTAACTCGTAATTGTCTTTATTTCAAATTGTTGAAGGATTTTCTTGGTCATTAGATATGGCCCAGGATCAGGCCTGTCCCTTAAGAGCTGGATCCACATTCCTCTCCCGAATGATTAGCTGCTTTTTTATGGGCTCCACTCCTAATCTTCTACGCCTAATGGCGCCCTAATTCAAACTTTAAATTAAGCTTTCCTAATGATAAAGGCATTCTAACTATGTTACGGTTCTTACGCAATAAAAAAGTAGTGATTTTTAAATATGTAAATAATTAAATAAAGATTTTTTAATTTTTATTGAATATGCTTTGTTTTAAATGTGTTTTAAATTCAAACCTTTATTAATATTGATGTGAAATTCTCATGAAAAATACAAATATAGAAATAGATTAATATTAGTGTAAAAACCTGTACGAGCTTAAAAAATGGGTAAGTCTTAATTATATAAATATAAATTTTTTTTCACTTATCACGTATGTTTTTTGTATTTAAAATGTGAATTTGTACAACAATAAAGAATCCAATCACTAGAATCTTAAAATTAAAACAAATTAAGGAAATCAAAATTCATTTAAAATGATTTAAATTTAAAAAACAGAACACACATGTCTTTATCTAGTAAACTTAGTGAAAAAAGAAACCTTAAATAGTAAAATGAGCTTCTAAATTATCTAGAAAGAAAATTTTTATTCTTATAATTTGTTTCATACAAACCATTAATTTTAAATAAAAAATAAATAATCATCAAATTTAATATCAATTGACTTTTTTATTTACATGACGTATAACATGATTAGTAATAAGTGATATAATTATATCAAATATCTATTTTACGATTGTCAGTTTTTTTTAAATTATAAACGTAGATAAGAGAATTTTAAATATAATAAAAATTTAATTACATAAATAGATATAATTTAATTTTTTTTATATATTTAAATCAATAAAGAATTACTAGTAAAAGCAATCAAGGACAAAGCATTAGAATTAAAAAAGAAGAAGAAGGCAGCAATTTTGAAAAGGTAAAATAAAATTTCAAAATTTGAAATTTATTAAAATCTTGTTATCTTATGTCCAGTCATCTTGAAAACGGACAATGCCATGATAATCCCATGGCTGTAACCCCATCTAATCAATTCCAATCTTTTAAAAGCGACGTTGCCAGCGCAGCAATCTGGGGAAAAAAAGGCCAAATACATCCTCAAAGCGGCATCGTTTAACCTCTCAAAGGCCCTAATGAAACGATGCCGTTTTAACGCTTCCTACCAGTTATCCCCGAGCGCCAAACTTGTTATAAAAGAGGGAAATCAAATTTAGGAAACCACTCTCTCTCTCTCGTTTTTATTTTTATTTTTTTCAATTTCAAATTTCAAAACCTCAACACTGTTAGCCTGAAAATGGAGGCAAGTCCAAACCCGATCGGATCGTGTTCCAAAGAGCACCAGAAGATCTACAGAGATTGGTTCAATATCGCCGATTCAGGTTCCTTCCTTTACTTTTCTACATTCTTCAATCATTTTTTTCTTTTTTGTTGATTTCGACTGTGAAATTGCTTTGATTATGATAGATGGAGATGGACGTGTTACTGGAAATGATGCTACAAAGTTCTTCGCCATGTCTAAACTTTCTCGTCAAGAACTCAAGCAGGTAATAAAAACTCGTTGAGAAAGAGTAGTCATGCTTTAGTAAAAGCTATTTCAAGTTCATTTTAAGTGTCGTTTGTGGTACTTCTGAAATCTTGATTTTAGAGAGCTTTGTTTATTTGTAAACTACGAACTGAGATGGGGCTTGTTTATGATTGGCCTCCGTTGGAATATGTAAATGATTTTTGGAATTATAAAAGACAGCTTGTGTATTTGTAGATCTATGGAAAATTTTCCTTTCACTAGATTTTACTTGTTAGGATTAATTTGCTCTTTCAGTGTTTGATCAGATTATGATTGTTTTTGAGTTCACGTTGTTCACCGTTTGTTTTTCCTTTTCTATCTTTAGATTTGGGCGATTGCGGATTCTAAACGACAAGGATTTCTAGGATTGACAGAGTTCATCGTTGCTATGCAGGTTGTATAATGGAATGGAGTATTTAATTAAATAGAGATTTGATTCTTTTTTTTTTCTAATATGTGATTTGTGTGTTTGAATTTTTGTTGATTTTCAGCTGGTTTCTTTGGCACAAGCAGGAAATGAACTAACCTCTGATGTTCTTAAAAGTTCAGGCGAGTCGCAAATAACCTACTCTGTTTTGCTCTTTTGTCATGCTTTGGTATCAATTGGACAAAGTAACACAGAGTCACAGACTGATATACGTACTTCAGAAATTGATTATGTGATGCTTCAGAATTGTTACATTTCTCAAAGTAGTGATATTTTTTTTGAAATTAATGCTTATTCTGGTCAAAACTTTGTATATACCGAAGATTTGTGGAAATATACTGCTATTGGCTCTCCTGTGGTCTTATTCTGGTTGTTTAATCCATGTTGATGTGTACTTTCGTTTATTCCAGTTGATGCAGAGAATATTAGTCTTCCTATAATCGAAGGTTTGGATGGCTTAGCAGTGGTAAGGGGTGTTCTTTGTTTTGCCTACTAATTTTAATTACTTGAGTTAATTTCTTTGTTTTGATAAATTTCATTGCTCTTCTTTCTCAGAAGAACAAGGATTCGACAACCACTGGGGAGCCTGAAATGAATGGTTAGACACTATACTACCTTCAAGTGTTTTCCATGAGGTTGTTCGATTGGGTTTTCATGAATTAGCTTACTATTAATCATGCAGGAACTACTCCAACTGCTAAATGGTTTACTTCAAAGTCGGCAAGAAAGGTAATCTCTCGGTTTCTCTTTGCCCTTAAGGGAGTTTGTTTTGCCTCTAGGTTGACTTTTCACTATGTTAACGTGTTGTACAACTTCTAAGCTGCATCTGTTTGTAAGGATGTCTTCATTTCAATTTTTTGCTTGATGAGTTTGCTTTCTCTGTTTATTGCTCAGACACCTGCAAGCGCAGTTACCTCAATTATTGATGGCTTGAAGAGACTTTACATTGAAAAGCTAAAGCCATTGGAAGTTACCTATCGATTTAATGATTTTGAGTCTCCTTTATTGGTAAGTGAAATATGCTTTGATTTTAACCCACAAAAAAAAAGAATTGTGCTTTTATATATCAGTGAGAGATATTAAACTTGAATTGAATGGCTCCATATCTATAGATTTTGAAGCAGAATATACACGTGCCACTGTGGCATTTCATATTCTCTTACGCACAAAGACTTTCATTAATGCATTAAATTTGATTTGTGATTTTTTACATGCAGACAAACAGCGACTTTGATGCTAAACCAATGGTTATGCTTTTGGGTCAGTATTCAACTGGGAAAACTACATTTATAAAACATTTGTTACAATGTGATTACCCAGGTAAGGTTGAGGCATTTATTCCCTTTCTCTTTCCTATAAACACGATGGTAGTTGATTATGATGTGTGCTGAGCTTTTCATCATCATTCTATTGACAGGAGCTCATATAGGACCAGAGCCTACAACTGATAGATTTGTGGTTGTAATGGTATGTAAAACCACGTCTAAGTTTACTGGTTTTGAAAGTGATTATATGGGTCAATGAGTTCTAATACATGTCATTGATTGCAATACTTGTTTTTGTGTATGATATCATCCTGCGTATAACCTTTCTGAGTGACCATCACCATTCTTGTGAGATCTATTGACACTATTATGTACAATGTCCAAAAAGTCATCTGTTTAGATATTCTTGTGAGATCTAGTAACCTTCACTTGGAAGGTAATTGTCTATGGTAAACAAAAATTTGACTACAATATGCACTTTGAATGTTGTAAAAGATTTGTAATGTTTCTTGTATATTTCCAGAATGGATCTGACGAAAGGAGTATACCTGGGAACACTATTGCTGTTCATGCAGACCTGCCTTTTGGTGGCTTGACAACATTTGGAGGAGCATTTTTATCAAAATTTGAATGTTCTCAAATGCCACATCCAGTGAGAATTCTCGAAATTTTTCTTTTTCCATTCTCATGTTGATTATATTTCAGTTTACTGTTACTGATATAGTCATCATGTTTGCAGTTGTTAGATCAAATAACATTTGTGGACACGCCTGGAGTTCTATCTGGAGAAAAACAGAGAACACAACGAAGTTATGATTTCACTGGTGTTATATCATGGTTTGCAGCTAAATGTGATCTCATCCTTCTTCTGTTTGACCCTCACAAGTTAGACATAAGTGATGAATTTAAACGAGTAATTTCATCTTTACGTGGTAACGACGACAAGATACGTGTTGTCCTGAATAAAGCACACCAAGTTGATACCCAACAAGTACGATATTCTGTTCCATTTTTCGATTGGTAGACTTCTGTAATAGTAGAATTTGTTACATTCATTACAGCTTACCAACATCATATGAACAGCTAATGAGAGTTTATGGAGCTTTGATGTGGTCACTTGGAAAAGTTCTGAATACTCCAGAGGTTGTGCGTGTTTACATTGGGTAAGTTTAATTTCCTCAAAAAGTTATTTCACTGCACAGTTCTGGCTAGTGATTAGGTTCTAATCTATCCTCTCTTGGTAGCTCTTTCAATGATAAGCTCCTTAATGAAGCTTCCATTGGTCCATTGGGACAAGATCTTTTCGAGAAAGAACAAGATGATCTTCTCAAGGACTTGATAGACATTCCAAGAAAGGCTTGTGATCGTCGGGTGTGTTCCCCTCCTCTTCGTAAATACTGTTCATGTTTAGTTAATGTTTATGTGCATGATGGGGTAAATTTATGATTGCAGATCAATGAATTCGTGAAGCGTGCTAGAGCTGCAAAAATCCATGCTTATATAATTAGCCATCTCAAGAAGGAGATGCCTGCTATGATGGGCAAAGCTAAAGCTCAACAACGACTTATCGATAATCTTGAAGACGAATTCGGAAAGGTCTTTCTCTGTTTTATCTCTGTCATTTCATCTTTTTGTTTCATTTTCACTTG